TGTGTGTGTGTGTGTGTGTGTGTGTGTGTAATGGAGAACCCAGGACCACTTCTGACTTTGAGTTGGGGATTCAATTACCCAGTGGGCGCCCTCAGTTCCTCCCCTCCATGTATACCCAGTGTGTAGGAGCCCAGTTATTCTCTTAAGGCTCCCATTTTTTGCTCCCTGTTTTCCCATGTTCTACTCAGTGAAATACTGGGCTGTGGGAGCAGGACTGGAGGTGTCAGTTTAAATTCCAGGATCCTGTCAAACACCCTCTGGTCATAACTTCCCTGCCATGCCCCAGTGGTTTGGAGCCATGTACACTGGCGGGGAGCATGTGCCATTATGGCTGCTGCTTTGATGCCATGGCACTCAGCGAGCCACAGAATAATGAAAGCTGGGAGAAGGTCCTGCTCCTGACTCACTTCTCAGGACTGTTATGCCTGAAGCCCCTCCTCAGTCACTGCTTGAGGACAAAGGCTCTCTCTCTTCCCTGGATGGATGGACACACAGGATGTAGAGTATGCATTTGCTGCAGCAGCGTTATTCAGCTGGAAGCAGGAACAGAGTGCTGGTGTGAGCTTCCACTTGGATGCACCTTCACCGCATGCTAAGGGAAAGACACCAAACACAAAAGGCTGCAGATTGTATGGTTCTGTGTCTATGGGGTGCTCAGGACAGCCAAGTGGCAGCCAGGGGCTGGAGGAGGAGACAGGGGTGACTGCCCAGGGGCTGTTTTATGGTTAAAAAATAGGCTTCTGTTATAGAAAGTTCAACTGTGTGACCCTGAGCAGGCTGCTGATCTCTTTCTCTCCACTTACTCTCCTGCAGGATGGGGCTAACGGCTGTGGTGAGCACTGAATGGGTTGCCAGTTTGGATCTGGAGTGTCTCTTGAAGGTCTGTGTCACAGGCTTAGTCCCAGCATGGGGCTGTTGGGAGGTGGGGGGAACCCTTGGGAGGTGACACTCTGAGCAAAGTGCTTAGGTTACTGGGGGGGCCCTGGAGGGAGACTGTGGGACTCTGGCCCCTTCCTCATCTACTTTCCTGCTTCCTGGCTAGGATGTAAATGGTTTTGCTAGGGCCCCATGCCCACCATAATGTGCTGCCACCTGCAGCCAAAGCAATGAGGTCAATTGACCATTGACTGGAACTGCCAAAACTGTGAGCCAGAATAAACCTTCCCTCTTTATACACTGATTCTCTCAGGTATTTTGTTACAGTGACAGCTAACTAACACATGGGGCGATGTATATAAAGTGCTAGCACTTTGCCTATTTGATAAACGTGAGCTACTATTAGTCCTTAACAGTGCTTTTCAGGAATTTCTTCCCGAGTGCAGTTTTTCATAAGAGACCTGGAAGAGCTTCCAGAATCAGAGTCACCATAAGACATGGGATACTCGGCACACTGCCCAGGCCTCCTTTCAGGACCATGGGGTGGGGAAGAGGAGAGAGCTTAATGTGGGTTTGAGGGGCGAAGGTTTATTCAAAGCTCGTGGGAAGAGATGAGGATCCAGTTGGGAAACAGTTACCACTTTACTTCTTTGTTCGTTTGTTTTTGTTTTTGTTTGTTTTTATTGGTACCGGGGATTGAACTCAGGTCCTTGTGGTTGTGAGGCAGGTGGTGGAACCACTGAGCTAAATCCCTGGCCCAGCACTTTACTTCTTGATGGGAAGGACTCAATTCCAAAGTCCCCACCGCAAGCCAGACCTTGTCAGACTCTTTATTCTGAAACAGATGACAGGATAGATGTCAGGGCAACAAGTGAGAGAGGGAGGGTGGCCTTCGAGGCCCTGCCAGTGTGCTGTCAGCACAGGAGGCAGCTGAAGGCCGGTGTTTAATTATCCTGGTGGCTCCTGCATCTGCATTTACACCCCCGGACCCCCGCCTACCCTCCTCAGCTTCCCTTCTCCTTCAGATGTGAAGTAAGATGAACCAAGTGACTTATGGTAGATACACATTTGTCTTTTTATTAAAGTATCAAAACATAAACCTGGATACATAAAACAACTAACTTAAATGCATTTGTTAAAAGAACTCATGGTCACACTGTAAGACCGAGGGCCTTACCAAATGCTCCGAGGAGCTGAGTGCAGTGAAGAACACCCGGGAAGGAACACACCGGACAAGTTGGAAAGTAAAACAGACCTTTATTAGTCTGGCCAGACGGCACTCCCAAAGCAACGTAGTGTAGAGAGGCAACTGGCTCAGAGTCCGAAGCTGTTTTTATAGGGGGTCTCGGGAAGTTGGCAAGCAGAAATACAAAAGCGGAGGAGAGAGATAAAACAGACCTTTTACAGATTGTCCTTAAGATAACATATTCAGATATGGAGTTGGGCAAGCATGACAGAACGCTACGCACACAACAGACCGTCCTGGCACAACAACAAGTGCATCCCTGGAACTTGATGTCTACCTGGTGATCCATAACAGAAGCAGAAAGTTGGGGCCCTATTACAAAGATGGAGTAACTGTTGTTCAGTCTTACAACACTAACCACACAGTGCAATTCTCAGGTCAGGTGTTCTCGCCATCGCCAATTCTCCCTTCCCCTAATCCCCTGTTGTCCGTGGCAGTTTACAGTGGTGTTGAGTCTCACAGCAGCTGGCACAGGCAACTCTACCCGTGGCCAGAGGGTCGATGCAGGGTGTATTAGCCTTCCTGACACGAAGACACAATACCCAACACCCACGACTTAAAGGAGTTTACTTTGGTACCTGGTTTTAAGGGATTCAGTCCATGGTTGGCTAGCTCTAAAGGAGAAACATCATAGTGGAAGGGCATGGCAGGACAAAGATGTTCAGCAGATGGCAGTGGGGCAGCAGAGCAGGGGAACAGTGCAGAGGCAGGGCCTGGGATCAGGTAGAGTTCCTAATTTCACACCTTCGTGACCCACTGAGAAGTGTGCTTTCCTAATCCCCTGGGTGGCTCCCAAGCCAATCAAACTGACATAGTCAGGCTTAACCAGAAAGGGACTTTCCCTTCCACCCAGATAAGACACACAGATTACACATGAAAGAACAGGGAATGGTGCTAGCATCAGGTGACTCTCTACAGAGGAACAGCCCCCATGGGCAATTCAAACAGCAAAATTAGTAAGCCTGCATCATACGTGGTCATTGAAAGGAACTATCCATGAGTTCAGAGAAGCAGGCACACCGTTCAGGCCGAAGAATGAAGTCAGTGTGCAGAACATCACAGAGGAGCAGAGCGGTCAGTTTCATCTCTGGCCTGGGAGTGGTATGTATGTGCTCAGGCAGAGAGCAAGGGAGCCTGCTTCTATTCCAGACCTGAGGGGTCATCTGCCCTGGGAAGTCCAGAAAATTAAGTGGAATACCTTTCTGGGAACTACCACATCCATCCTGCCCCACGCTGTTCTCTCTCCCCCATCCCCTTCCCATTCTTTTTAGTGATATATGCAATACATTTATAATACAGAGACACACATTTGGATGTCACAGCACTTGTAATCCAAGCAGATAATTCCTTCAGAGGAGTGCAGTGCCGCAAAGGATGGTGTTGGAGGCTAGAGTCGGACAACAGGTGTTGCAGACACTTGTACCTTCAGAGAAACTGACAGTTGACGTATTGAGCGATTCAGACTTTATATCGTAGGACCGAACAGCTGATCTAAAGGATATGCTTGGTGACATGTTTCAGGATGTCAATGCCATAGACTGAGGAACAGAATTGAAAATCAACCATCCCACCTGGTGGTGCCCCAAGAAACAAAGGCTCACACCCCAAGATGTTCAAAGGGAATCATCCGCGTCACGAAGAGGGGACAGGTGGGGAGAGACTAGGTTTCAACAACCCACAGATTTAGAAAAATAGAAGCCAGCACGACATTTACATTTACCATGTCTTGGTTCCAACATTTATTACACCGAGAGGAATACTGGGATAAATAATATTTTCTCTTAGAGAAAATTGTAATGATAGTACTGAGGAGGATTTCACAGAAACATCAGAATTTTAACAGACAGTAACCAGAGTCCTGCAGCCAGTGTGAGTGAGTGACCACTCACAGCTTCAAATGCTCCAGCCTGGGTTTCTTCACACAGCTACTTGACAAGAACAACGCGTGAGCGTCCAGTAACACGAAGGTCCGGCCATCACTGGCTCCCACCATATGCCTCCACCGACTGGCTTCTGACCACCAGAAAAGGAGAACGCAATAGTCTTCAGCTCTTCTGGCCTAGAAATAACTCCTGACCTATGTCACTGAGTGGAGAGTCCTCAGCTCTTGCAAGTTGGACTTTCTTTGTTTTCTTCCCATGACACCAGAACTGAGTTTGAACAGGACTTGCAGCCCTGTCCCTGACTGCTCCTAATGCCTAGGCGCCATGGGAAAGGAGGCCTCACCCTACTGGCCTGCAGGACGGCTCTGCTCTCTGGGGCTTCCAAGCTCTTCGGGCCTCCTGAACACTCTTGAGACACCGTCCACGGCAACAGACCCCAGACTCTCAGATGCCAGCCTGAGGATAATCACGGAAAGAGACATCAAAAGAGCACGATGCCTAGTTTGGAAAGGAATGCCTTGCGCACAGTAATTCTGGAACACAGCAGCGTATCTGCTAGAAAGCACAGCCCTGGCCTTCACACTTGGATGCCTGCCGCTCTCGCTCCATATGCCCTGAGTGACACTGGGCAGCCGCTGAGGAGGAGATGGCTCCACCCTGCCCACCCAAGGTACAGACACTTCTGTGTGAATCCTGACGGACGGGCAGGACCCTAACCAGGGGCCATTTGGATGGCAAAGAATGGCCAGTATGTTAAGACCTAAATCCTGGAGTTGAGGCAAAGGATGCGCTCACCCTGGTCCAAAGTGGGGAGGCCCAGTGGAGTTGCCATGGGCCCTCTTGCCTCAATGCTGGGATGCTAGAGGTACACCGGAAGTCAGCTTTCCAATGATTTCAGGGTTTTGGGTGGAAAAGGAGCATTCAATGAGGACTCCCCAGTTGCCCAACACCATGGCCGCTTAGCTCTGCAGTGTTCCTTCTTTTATCTGTTGGATGAATAGGTTTCTCTCGTCTTCTGGAGTCCGCCCATTCTGAGCCCGGACAATGCATGTGGGCTGGTGCAGGTTGAGCATGTATATCAAATGCTGCTTCTCATTCTTCAGCTCCTTGATCTGCGCCTTCAGCTAAGCATTCACACTCTCCAGCTTCTCTGACTCCTGAGGGACAAGCGGCAGAGGCATGAGGAAGGAAGCCACCTTGGGGGACACCTGCAGAGGGAACCTTGTCCCCATGAAGACTAGGGAGGGGAGTGTGCAGACCTGGAGAAGCCTTTAAACCTGGGGGCCTCTTCAGAGAAGCTCTGGAGATGCCACCAAGGAGGCTTTGATGCTACCAGGGCCAAAGCTGCAATAGGATCAATAGTTCAGAGATCTCCGCATGGCTCCAACAGCCCACATGCCGGGCACCGAGACCCAAAGGGCTAGGGAGAAATTCAGTCTCACGGTGTTGAGTCTGGGAGTCACTGACCTCACTGAAAAGCTCACCTTCCCCGAAAAAATGTACTCGGCAACACACAAATTTCTTCATTTCTATGGAACCACTGAAGCAACAGCAGGGGCTTCAGGGCCCTGTGGCACCTGGGTTGGTACTCTGCTCTGTCCTGTCCACACTGGGGGAGCGACGTAGCTACTGGGAAGACACAGGGCTCTGAGGCCCACATGGACTGTCCCACAGTGATCCCAAGGAGCCAGGGCTCAAAAGCCTGTGTGAGGCAGAAGACAGGAACCCAAAGAAAAGTAACCACAGCTTTTGGATCCAGGAAAGAACTTGTTTGAGGAGATTAATGAAAGGCTTCTCATATGGAGCCAAATGAGAGCTGGCAATTTCCTTGTGGGAAAACAAGCGGGTGAAGCCTCTTCAGCTGCACTGGCCAGGAGGGTGCTGCATCTGTGAGGAATGGCCAAGGCTGCTGGGAGTGCGTGGGAGGATTTTAATTCATACCTGCTTTTCCTGCACCCAGTGTCCCATCCGCTGTGCTAACAGCTTGGCTACCTCCTCATTCTGCACCTGGCATTTCTGCTACCAACTACCAGGCTTTGTAACTCCCCTTCTGACAGCCACACAGGGTGGCAGGGGCAGGAGTGGGGGAGACGAGGAGCACTCACTTTCTGCAGGCACTCTGTCTTCTCCTTCTTCTTGTTTCGGCACTTAGAGGCTGCAATCTTATTTCGTTCCCATCGCCTTTTTCCTTTCATCTTCAGGGGCTACCTATAAAACCCCAAAGGCTCACATTCAATGCTACCACAAAATGACATGCATTTCAAATTCACTGTCTTTCACTGCCAGCCGAGTCTGGAAAGCGGAGCAGCCTTCACGCTCAAGGGACCCAGGACACCAAAGCCCTAGGCTTTTACACAGAACTCTGCACACAGGCACGCACCCGTGCATATTTGAGAATGAATAACGAAAGCCAACTGTGAAAATACGATGGTCCTGGCACTATTGGTAAAGCAAAATCTTAACCTATTTTAGGTATGGATTTGGACTTTGGATATTAATAATTATTGAGGCTGACTATAATCGTTTAGAACAGGAAACAGATTCTGGTAAGAATGTCCCTTTCCCCTAAATGTGGAGGGACCTCCAGACCATCATGTGGCCACCCTCTCTGCCTGCCTCTTCTCTGATCCAAGACCCAAGGGCAACTCTGTTCATCTCTATGTTCATGTGAAGCACTGTTTTACCAACTTCCTGAATTTGGGAGATGCCTGTGGAGCTCCTGCAGAAGAGGGACTTGAGTCCATCCCAACCAAGGTGGCATAAATCAGCCCATGGCTGGGGGCTGTATGTGGGTGGGGAACCAGAAGCATCCACTGACTGAGCCAATAAATCTATACTGGCCTCCAAGCCTGTGCCTCCCCCATGAGCCAGCCTGGGGCTCCCGGAGAACAAAACCCTGTCCTGCTGCTTTGGGATACGGTGTCCATGGCAGTCCCTGGCTTTGTCTGGACTGATAAGGGACTGGCATCTGACCACTGGGCTTGGCTTAGAGACCAGAGTCGAGCTGGAACGAAGCACTCATGGTGAGCTGGGCGACCCGAGTGAAGGGACTGAACTACGGGGCTTGTAGGTGAGGACTTTGACACATCCTAACCCATGGCTTCTCCAAGAAGCTGTACCCAGGGAGCCTCCATCAAAGACCAGGCAGTCACCTCAACAGACTCTGTGGCTTTTCCCTCTCTAGAGCCAGGAGCAACCAGCTTGGGGCTTACAAGGCCCACTCACTCGCCATCAGGCCTGGGCCTGCCCTCCCTGCGTTTCCAGAGCTAACTGCTGCCCAGGAAGGTGTCATTGCGCATGCACATGTGTTTGGGCTGTGTGCGCATGCGCTTGGGTGCACACTAATGCCTTATCCTTAGGGGACTTGCCACCCTGATCCCTAGGAGTGGTGAAACTGCTATTGTATGGACCTGTGTTGGACTCATTTTAATTGGAGGTGGTGCAGACAAATCGTTTTGCCCCAGTACAGCAGAACTTACGAAATCCAAGCCCAGCTGCCTGACCAACTCAACCCATGTCCAAATCACTGGGATGCAGTCCTTGCCCGCCGGGGGTGGGGGGGAGTGGGGGTGGGGGCTGTGCTCCCATTGGTGTCTTCTTTTCTGGGCGCCACCCACGTGGAAGACCCGCGGAGAGGCAGCCGCAGGTCGCACTCCTCAGCTTGCTCAGAGGCAGGGTCCTTTCTAATGTGAACTTTTAAACTCTGTTCTTAAAATTCTGCAAGTTATAAACAGCTACATCATGCTGCAAACTTGGCTGTCAAAACGGATATGAGTGCTGTGTTCAAATTAAACTTTTGCAGCGGTTAATAAGAGTTGCAAAATGATGCAAGGGGCAAAGTCATCACTTTGCATTTGCTTCCTGGTAATTAATTGTGGTGGACGAAGATGAGGTCAGTTGCTGCTTTCCCAGGAACTGCTCTGCTCAAGCCACCGGCTTAGGCAAGGCTTTTTGTGGTCCTGGGTATTAGCTAGGCTACCAAGCTTTGTTTGGGCTGGGCAGTGTCCAGCTGCTATTTCCTATTGCAAGAGATTATCCCATTGGTGGCTATTTGGGACTAAAAATGCCAAGCCCACCTTTTCTCTACATCCAGGTATCCAGGACACAGGTCTGCATTGTGCTGTGATCCAATACTACACTTCTGCCAAGTCTTGATGTTGTACAAATGACAGGAAGCCCAGAAGCACTACTAGGATTCCTGTCTGTGATAAGGAATCCAAATCAGGGTTCTGGCCACAGGCATTTATTGTTCTTCCTGCTTCTCTCCTGCCAGTTTCCTCCAGACTCATCCAGACCTTCTTTTCAATGAATTCCTTCCTGGTTAAAACAACCAGGCAGTCTTGGTTTCTTGCTCCTAAAAGTGTTCCTCTAATTGAGATGGTTGGTAGCCTGCCCAGCAGCACCTCCCCTTCCCTTTCTCACTAACAGAATCCCAAGTTTCCATTTGTCCGTAGGTCTAGCTGGCACAAACAGATGGATTTGACTGATCGATCCTATCTCCTTACCTAGGTACACAACTGCTTTGGAACTCACTGAATTTGGTACTTGGGACATTTTGACAAGAAAATTTTGTCTCTGTACTCACCCTTTGTTGGGTAATCAATGTGCAGGCTAGATAGAACTTGGCTTCAATTGCTTCTGACTTGCTACGCTCTCTAGCCACAACAATTTGTTTGATACTCATGGTCACACCTCCTGGAACCAATTAACAGCGAGTACAGAGGTACCACTGGAATTAGCCCATGACCCAACTCTGGCCAAAGAGACCTGAGAGGAATCTGCTGGAAAGATTCTCCTCACAGACTGTGCCTTGGCCCATTTCCTGCTTGAGAAACCACCACATGAGAAGGGGAGCTTGGAGCTACTGCCAGTTGAGGAACACAGGTTGTTGGTGTTGGGGTCTGGAGGCTTGGGCTCTCCCTCTGCAACCCTGCACTTCTTCACTCTTCCTTCTCCTCTTAAAGGAAAAGAAACTCAAGCAAACACTTCCATGGGGCCCAGCTTTTGGCGTGCCTGGGCCCCACTGACTATCTTGCAGGCAAACTCCCTCAGGGGTGCCCAGGCTGTGCCTCCTCCACCTTCACCCCACCCTGCTCAGGAGGTCCCTCCACCCAGCCACCTTGGCACATCCTCAGCAGCCTGTCCCACGTCCCCCGAGAAGAGCAGTGAGTTGGGGACTCACAGGCGAGTCCAACTGCTCACTTCCACCCCATGCTGGGCCTGGTGAGGACAGTGTGCCGCGGGATGTGTGGGCCACACCCACTTTTGGCCCCTTTCCCTTCAGGGCTGTCTTCTTCATCCCAGGCCTGTATTCCCAGAAGTCGGCACAGCTTGGGGTCCCGGCGAGTGACAGTGGAGTGAGTGAATGAATGGATGAACACGTAACAAAGGCTGGCAAGATCAGTGAGGCACAGGGCTCTCCACAGCTCCGGGACAAAGCTACAAAACCATGAGCTTAGATTCCAGCCTAGGGTGGCACAGGTGGCTTTAGTCACCCTGGCTGTGGCCTTCATGCTGGGCACCCATGCCCTGCACCAGCCACCTCTGCCCCAGTACCCAGGTCCTCAGCCAGACAGGGCCTCAGGTCTTCCACTGTCATCCAAACAGGGCAGGCTGTGGGGTGTACGGTCCTAGCCAGCAGGGACTGTGGCCCTCCCCGCTGTGTACCCCCAGGGACAGCCTCCTAGTAGGCAATTGGTAAATGTTTTGATCTGAATGTCTTCATCCCCTCCCAACCCAAGGTGACAGTGTTAGGCAATGGGGTCTTGGGGAGCTAATTAGGATAGATTCCTCTCGAATGAGATTAATGCCTTTATAAAAGGAATCCAGGAAACTCCTCACCCTGTCCAGAGCACTCCTCAACTCTCCAGAGCAGATGGAGAGAGTGACACAGACTTCCTTCGGAGGAGCAAAGCTTTCCCCCCGCCCCGTCCTTCCGCAAGCAGCGCCCGCCATGCAGCGCCACACTCAGCACCCAGTAGCTATTGGCAAAGCAGGCCGCGCTCCACGCTTTCCGTTGCGCCTGCGCAGTGCAGACTCGGAAAAGGCCGCCCCCTCGCGGCGCTGCTAGCGAGCAGGATGGAGACTCCGGCCTTTCCGCCCAGAGTGTGGCCCGCTGTTCTACCGCTGCGCAGCACGCCAATAGAGCCCTCCGCGCTGCCTTCAGAGGGAGGTGAGCACCTCTCAGCCAATGAGGTGCCAGGAACAAAGAGCGGGGAACCAATAAAATCGGGGTGGCTGGCCAGTCACGCGGCCTCACACCCGGATGTGCTTTCTGGGTCTGAGAACCAGCTCGGCCAGAGTGTGAGGGGTTCTGCACGAGGGGACGGACTGGGACACCGCGGAGGGCGTAGGCGTGTGTACACTAAGTCCCGCGACTCGCGTGCGTTGGCCGTGTCACGGTCGTTCCTTGGGTGCTGAGTGGGGGCCCAGATCGTCGCGTTCGTGGGTAGATAGCATTGCCCCTGCAGCGCCCTGGAGCCCCTCGTGGTTTTTCACAGGGTGTAGATCTTGAACACGCGCTTCGGGCAAGGGTAACATGAATCTTCTACCCAAAAGCTCCAAGGAGTTTGGCTCTGTTGACTACTGGGAGAAATTCTTCCAGCAGCGGGGAAAGCAGGCTTTCGAGTGGTATGGGACCTACCTGGAACTGTGCGGGGTGCTGCACAAGTACATCAAGCCCAGGGAGAAGGTAAGGGTCGCGGCCCAGGGCCCCGTTCGCGTGCTCTGGAAGGCGGGAACTGCTAATGGTGCTCCTGCCCTCGGTGGGCACACGGGCTGGGTGCCCCTGTGGGACCTGCACTTGCGGGATTCCATGCCTTGTTCCTGCCAAAAGACAGCATTAAAATAGTCTCTAAAGGATTTTCAGTTAAAAGACTCCCGCCCCAGGGCGTCCTTGAATTAATAACAATTCTTGGAATAGTGACTTCTTTAGTACAACACTTAAAGTGTGCTCTTCTGATCCCGCGCAACCTTTCATTGTTGTGTTTATTCAGTAGTTGTTGAGCGCTCACTGAGTTCCAGGTACTTTACTGTATTCAGCCCTTAAGCTACAAGAGAGTTAAGATGTAAGCTCCGCACACATTCCAGAACCGTGCAGTAATAGATTAAGTAGAAGTGCTATTGTCCGGGAAGTAGGGAAAAAGACCCATTTTTTTTTTTTTTTTTTTAAATTTTTGGACCAAGGTCTTGCTGTGTAGTCCAGGTTGGCCTCAAACTCACTGTGTAGCCTAGGCTGGCCTTGAAGTCTCAGTGATCCTCCTGTCTGAGCCTCTGGAGTGCTGGGATTACAAGTGTGTGCCACCACACTCTGCCAAGAATAGCATTTGTAAAGGAAGCTTATGCTAAGCTTCCTGTGTGGCGTTGTTTTCGTTTCTTCTTTTTTTTTGGTACCGGGGATGGAACTCAGGTCCTTGAGCTTGTGCAGCAGTTGGCGAAACCACTGAGCTAAATCCCTGGCCTTGTTGTTTTCTTATATGTGCAGTCATTTCCTTCTTTCCTTGAACTCAGGTGAATAGTCATGCACTTATTTACAAGGGTGTTGGCGCTCAGACATACAGGAAGTCAGGTGGAGATTTAAACTCAGGCCTGTCTGGCTCCATAGCTTATGCATTTCTCCATGAACTATGCCTTTGCAGAGATAGTGACATCGGAGCAGAATTCTGCAGGATGAATGGGAGATTGCTTCACAGAGAGGGAGGCAATAACTGTTGTAACTTCGACTTCAGGATAGCTTAAATGTCTTGAAGTGGAATCCATGGTGGGAGTAAAAGTTGAAACCTTACAAATGTAGTTCATTGTCTGGTGAAGCAAAGGAATGAGTGAATAGATGAAGTAGGCTTCATGCCAGGCCTAAGTGTCTAACAGGAAAGCAGGAGCTTCTAACTGTAGCTACTGTCTTTGGATTCTGTGACATTAATGTGTCATTAATGCATGCTTGTTTGAGAGGACGGCTTTGACTCATTTGTTTCTGCACCTCAAAGCATATAACCTGTATTGTAACCAACTGTGTTTTTCACTAATACTTCTTTAATCCATAGTGTTTCAAGCTGGAGTCTAATGTTAACTGTGATGTTAGTACTTCTGGACAGTAGCATCTCTACCTTTGGAAAACAGGCAGCCGCTAGGGGGAGCCTTACTTTCATAGTGTCGGAAGTGCATTTCCGCGCCTTGATTACGTCCATCTTGCCTGTGATTTTTCTTCCCCAGGTGCTGGTGATTGGGTGTGGCAGCTCCGAGCTTAGCGGGCAGCTATATGATGTGGGCTATCAGGACATGGTAAACATCGACATCAGCGAGGTGGTCATCAAGCAGATGAGGGAGCGCAATGCCCGCCGCCGGCCCCAGATGAGCTTCTTGAAGATGGACATGACACGGATGGAGTTTCCGGATGCCTCCTTCCAGGTGGTGTTGGACAAGGGCACCCTGGATGCTGTCCTGACAGATGAGGAGGAAAAGACCCTTCAGCTGGTGGACAGGATGCTGGCTGAGATTGGCCGCGTCCTGCAGGTGGGCGGTCGCTACCTCTGCATCTCCCTGGCTCAGGCTCACGTCCTGAAGAAAGCAGTGGGTCATTTCTCTCGGGAGGGGTGGATGGTGAGGGTGCACCAAGTGGCCAGCAGCCAGGACCAGGCATTGGAGTCAGAGCCTCGGTTCTCCCTGCCTGTCTTTGCCTTCGTCATGACCAAGTTCAGGCCGGTCCCTGGCTCTGCCCTTCAGATCTTTGAGCTGTGTGCTCAGGAGCAGGGCAAGCCTGTGCGGCTGGAAAGTGCCGAGCGGCTGGCAGAAGCTGTGCAGGAGCGGCAGCAGTATGCATGGCTGTGCGGCCAGCTTCGGTGCAAGGCCGGGCTGGGGAGTGTGTCTCTGGACTTGTGCAGTGGGGACACGGGGGAGCCACGCTACACCCTCCACGTGGTGGACAGCCCCGCTGTGAAACCATCGCGGGACAATCGTTTTGCCATTTTCATCAGTGAGTTGGAATTGCTCCATCTCTTTCCTTGGAAGGGCTGGGGCTGGGCTTGGGCTTTGGTGGATGGGTGTGTCTTGGCTGTTTTTGTCTTCAGAGGGTGGTGGTTCCAGAGAGCTAGATGAGGCTAGGTGTGGTGGAGCAGGAGGAATGGTTTTCTTAGATTTCAGTCTTACTCCTTCTCATCTTCCATTGAAAAGGCTTGAGAAGGTATGACAGCTGTGATGGGAGGGAAGAGTGGAGATAAATTCAGGCAGGTCACACATCACATAGAGGTGTTAGTTAATTGGCATTGAATGATGGAAGCAGTGCTGAATTAGCTGGCCCGTGAGTGAGTTCTAGTCACAGCTCCAGCTTGTGTGCTGAGGGGTCTGGGAGAGTTGGTGTGCTTTTGTGTAGAATTTAGGGAGGCCGTACAAAGTAGCTGAAAAAGGGAACCTGACTGTTTGGGTTCCAGTCATGGAGCAGCCACTTCTAGTGATGTGATACAGAACAAGTTACCTTTCTTTCTGTGCCTCAGTTTCCTCATCTGTGACATGAGATTGTAACTCCTCTTCTATAGTTGTGAGAAGTGTAAAATCTCTTAGAAATGGTTCCTGGCATGTGATAAATGGTTTATAAATGTTATCATTATTGAAGAGAGTAAAGAATACTAGATTTACCTTAATAAAGATCAAGAGATAATGTGAGGAAATGCTTTCAAATGTAGAAAGTTGCAGACATATGCAAAAGATCACGGTCATGCTGGTAATTCGTTTCCTGACAACTGAGCCATTTTTCCAAGTATTTTACAATCCCACCTGTCTGCCTGTGGGAATAATAGCGCACTGGATGTGAGCATGGAATCTGGGACTGAACTGCTTGGGTTTGAGTTCAGCTTTCCCATGTATTAGCTTTGTGAACTGGGGTGAATAATGTAACTTCTGTGCCTGATTTCCTCATTTGTAAAACAACAGTAATGCTACTGCATCTTGGATTACTGTGAGGATTCCATTAGTTTATATTTGTAAACTGCTTGGACTCATGCCTGGCATGTAATATACCTTGTTATTATTGCTGTTTGTCTTGCGTTAAGTGCCTGCTCCCCTTGCTTCATAGACATGCCCACATTCCAGTCTAACCTTGGTCCTCCAGGTCTGATGTGCTGCTTTGCTGGGTGTAGTGAACTAGGGATTGATAGCCCCACAGTGGGTCTCAGGCCAGGAGGATGCTGGTCACGGGTAGGGCTGGCTTCCTGCCATGTGGGGCATAGTGGTTGTGGGGGCACGGACATTCTTCCTAGGACTCCCTGTAACCCGCTCTCTCTTTCCCAGTTCCCCAGGGCCGGGAGACTGAGTGGCTCTTTGGCATGGAGGAAGGCCGGAAGCAACTGGCAGCCAGTGCGGGCTTCAGGAGGCTGATCACAGTGGCCCTTCATCGAGGTCAGCAGTACGACAGCATGGACAGTATTCAGGCAGAGCTGTCGGCCAGAGTCATGGAGCTGGCCCCGGCTGGGATGCCTGCCCAGCAGCAGGTACCAAAGCTTTGGCAGCAGCTTTCACTGGTCTCTGGAGTGCATTAGCAGTGAGGAAGGCAGAGGGAGCCTTGGAAACAGCCAGAATCTGTGACTCTCTGCTGATCCTGAGAGAGGTGTTAGCAGTTGAGGTTAAATGGACTTAAGACGATTTTCCCTTACCCCAGGCAGAGAGAGGAAGGTGAGCAGTTGCTCATTATAGGAACCACAGTGGCATCTGTCTTGGGGTGTGAGAGGGCTCTCATTCTCTAGAAATTGCATGAAGGAAATGTGAATCCAGGCATGGCTATGACCTAGCTTGCCTGGATCACACAGAGTGAAGAGGAATCATCTTGGGCCACATATAAAACGTACAACACAGTTAATGTGTATAGGTAACAAAACTTACTTTTTAAAAGATATTTTTATTCTAACAGGGATGTCCATCTCGTGGGCCGCCGGTTGGACACCCTCCCAGCCTCCAGCTGTTCGTGTTGTGGATTGCCCAGACCAGACTGGTTTTCCTTTCCTACCTTGGAAAAGGATTTCCTTGGCCATTTGCTTCTCTCAACTCTCGTTATCTGAGGGCCTAAGAGAGATAGGGCCAACCCAGCTGAGCACAGTTTTCAGGATCTTAGCATCACTGGCCTGGTATTTTGCTGGGAAGGAAACTGAGGGTTTTGCCAAAATGGTGATATGATATTGAAATTATCGGTCAACACCTGCCTTGTGCCATCCTGGGCACCAGCAGTAGTTGACAAGTGGCTTTATTGTAAGAACTTTATCCTTCTTTTTTTTTCTTTTTTTGTACTGGGGATCGAACTCGGGACCTTGCGCTTGCGAGGCACTGAGCTAAATCCCCAGTCCTATCCTTCTTGATAAGTGGAAAAGCCAACATGTTAATCCCGGGCCCTGGGTTCCCAGCCTGTGGTCCTGTCCACTAGGCCAACTTGTGTTGACAGACAACCGTATGTTTGATTCTTCCTGGAAGACCTTGAGCTTGGTACCCATCAGAGAGACTTTATAGTTTCACCTTGACTTTCTCTCACCAGTGCTCCTGTCTGCAAGGTCACAGATTACTGGTGATTATCAAATACAGTGCCCCGACAAAGAAGATACATAAATGTAAAGATGGTAGGAGAGGTGTAGGGGGGAAATGTATTCTTTCTCCCAAGATTTCGGAAAATGTGGGAAAAAAAGATGACAAGAACTTGAGGAAGAAAGAGATTTCTCCACATTTAGAGGAGTGGTTTCTGTCTTGGATTTTGCTATCTTTGCTTCTTTCTCAGTGTTAGATCCCTTCCTGAGGATTCCTTCTAGATTTTATTCTGCACTGTTGCGAGATTTCTGGGGGGTTCTGATGACAGATTCTTGGGAAGAACCATCTCTAGTGGTTTGGGAGATACGTATGTGTTCAGTTAATTTTCAAAAAGTGAAGTAAAATTTTTGAGGTCCATTCAGAGGCCTCCAGAAGTACTTTAACAAAATGGCAAATCTTTGAAATTGTTCTGCAGATCCTTGATATGGGGATTCCTCATAGGCACACAGAGGGAAGGATTATAACTTCTTGTATCTTATAATTCAGCAGGTGTTTTGACTCTGCCCCTGGCTGTACCTTCAGGTGCCCTTTCTGTCTGTGGGTGGGGACATTGGAGTCCGGACTGTTCAGCACCAAGACTGCAGCCCCTTGAGTGGCGACTATGTCATCGAGGATGTGCAAGGGGACGACAGGCGATACTTTCGGCGGCTGATCTTTCTCAGCAACAGAAATGTGGTGCAGTCGGAAGCCAGGTTGCTGAAGGATGTGCCTCACAGAGGTGAAGTGTCACAGGCATGGTGGGACCTGGATGGTCATGGTGTGGGCTCTGGGTTTGGGGTCTCCATTGTGACAGTGTGGGTGAGCAGCAGGAGAGCTGGAAAGCGTGCTATAGCTACAGATCAGTACCGGATGCTGCTGTGAAAAGCAGGGGATTCTTAGGAGAACAGAACCATCTGTTCAATATGATAGTGATGGAGCAGTTGAGGGAAAGTAGAGGGGGCTCTTTATGGGGTTTCTGCCCTTCCTCGGTTTCCTTTTCCAGATGCTATGTATTGTCTGTGTGGCATGGTGGGAAGATGACAGTGTTGGTGACAGGCAGTCCCATAGCTGCCTGTGCCACTTACTGATCCTGGGTCTATTGACTTAACTGTTCAGTGTTGCCATGTGCCAAGAATGGGAAAGATTGTTAGAAGAAAGAGTTGTTACAAGGGCAAAGAGATCAAAAGTCCTGGTTCAATAATTGGCATAGAGAAGGCACTTAGTAACTACGTCTTCTGTAAAAGAATTTATGAGTAAACTTTGCTCTTGCCAGTTGAGTTTTCCAAGGTGTTACTGTTTTTTTTTTTTATGGTACTGAGGATTGAATCCAGCAGTGTTCTCCCATTGAGCTACACTCCCAGCACTTTTGAGTTTTTAATTTTGAGACAGAGTCTTGCTGAATTGCCCGGGCCAGCCTCAAATTTGTGACCCTTCTGCTTCAGCCTCCCAAGTAGCTGGGATTATAGGTGTGTACCACTGTACCTGGCTGAGCTTTCCTTGATTTTTGAGTGTGCTTTTGCCACTTTCCTTTCCCAACTCCTTGGAATCCAGTGGTGTATGCTGAATGCTAAAATAACCTTCTTAGGGAGAGGGGAAGCTCTGATTTGTAGTTTGCTAACTTCTGTGATAAAAATAGTCCCTCCATGGCCAATTCCGGGCTGTCAATATGATTGATGTCAACCAGTTTATAATATTATTATATATTAACATCTGGTTCTCAAGTCTGGTCAAGTCATGGCTGCTGGTATCCTTTGCTTTCCAAGAACTATGAGAAGCATAGGACTTCATTAGTCTGGATCTCTCATTTAGCCCAGAAGAAACGGAAAAAGGACAAGAAGAAGCAGTGGCCTGTTGAGACTTCTGAGGACCTCCCTCCAGCCCCAGAGCAGTCCATTGATAAGAGTTACCTATGCTGTGAACACCATAAAGCCATGATTGCCGGCCTTGCCCTGCTGAGAAACCCGGAGCTGCTTCTAGGTGAGAGACACCACTGCCTTCACAGTAGAGAGCACGTAAGATTACGGAAGTAGAGGAGTTGCTTTGTAGCTTGAGAACAGTGACTATCAACTCACAAAGGCACATACATACTTTCTTCATCCTAGCTACCTTCTAAGTTAAATGAGTATCAACGTAATTTTTTTTTTTGAGGCACCAGGGATTGAACCCAGGGCCTTTGCACTGAGGTACATCCCCAGGCCTTTTTTATTTTTGTTTTGTGACACGGTCTCGCTGAGTCACTCAGTCGCCCAGGCTTGGCTCGAACTTGAGATTCCCCTGCTTTGGCCACCACCATTCCCAGTTCATTCATGTAGCTTTTGCCTCAATGTGTAATCTTGAATGGTTACAAGTGTTGGTATCTAAATTTTGTTTTCTTATGTTCATTTCTTTTTGAAATTAAGATACAATATTATTCATGAGATAAGTAAAGGACATAGGTTTTAACTTGCTCAGCTTGATGAATGATTACATACATATGTATGTATTATACACATACACATGTTAACATGCATGTTAACTAGATGGTGCACTTAAATCTCATATTTCTTTGCCTTTGGGTAAATGTGTGGCTTTTCAATAGTGTTTTATTTGAGCATGAGACACAATTCTTGAATTTCTATGTAAAGAATCTTTATTTAGTGCACTGATTGGCCTCTCAATAATAACAGGTTTGGATCTGACCACATTAACAAATATGTTCAGATTTCTTTATGTACCTACAACTGTCTTTGCCCGACATCCCCAAGTATGCCTCATTGGGGCACCTTGTGGTTTTGGTCTTTCTTGGTGTTAACAACATCCCCAGGGTCGCAGTTCTTGGATTTACTGTGTCTGTCTCCCTGTAGTCATTTTGTTTCCTGTCTTCCTTCAGTCTCCCTGTGGTTGCTGTGGTTTCTCTACTTAGGGCTGGGGCCTTGTTTTCCTATAGTTTATGGCACTTAGATGGGTCCTCCTTGCTTGGTAGGTCTGTCTTAGAAGGCAGTTATGGCCTTTTGAGTCCAGAGCCAAGCAAGGAGCATCTGTACTGCCTTGTGATCAGGAATAAAATTGCTCAGCCATTGCTTCTCCATTTCTTGGGGTGGGATGTTTTTCTAGTAACTCTTATGGGACTCTTGATACCTTGTCACCTGTGTGCTTTGAGATCTTTATAGGACCCTAATAACAAAACCTTGGTTTATCCTCTGGATCAAGTCAGCATGAAGCCCAATTTTCAAATAACTGAAATTTTCAAATTTCAGTTAACTCCTATAGTCTTGGAATGGGACAGGGAAACTAGGTCTTTAAGTCTTGTATCCTTGAGCAGAGCCAACAGTCTAACTTCCTCTTTCGTCCTCCCAGAGGATGGTATAAAACTTCACAGTGAGCAGGTGGCAAAGTGATACTTTCTTCTTTATTACAGAGACCCCACTGGCATTGTTGGTAGTGGGCTTGGGCGGGGGCAGCCTCCCTCTCTTCGTCCACGATCATTTCCCTAAGTCCTACGTTGATGCTGTGGAGATCGATCCCTCCATGTTGGAAGTGGCCACTCAGTGGTTTGGCTTCTCCCAGAGTGACCGGATGAAAGTCCACATTGCAGATGGCCTGGACTATATTAGCAGCCTGGCAGGAGGAGAAGGTACTGCTGCAGTTGCATCTGGGGGGTGTTGGGGAGACTGTCCCAAGGTTGTCTCAGGGGCCTCTAGAATTCATTTCTTTGAGGAGGCATCAGTATCATTCCAGGGTCTGTTCATTTGTTCATTTATGTTTATTCAGTAAATGTAGAGTGTCAGCCCTGTCCTTAGCACTCTGCTAAGGGTTCAGCAACACATAAAATAGACTTGCCTCTTCACCATTCCAAGGAAGCTGAAGTCTACAGCTAGGTGTAGAAGAAGGAAGACAAGATGTTTGTGTGCATTAGGAGATGTTTCTTATAAACAGTTTGGCTGGATGTGAAGTCAGAAATATAGTAAAAACAACATGCATGTAGATCAGAGGTTCTTAACCTCAGGGAACATTTGTCTGCAAACATATTTTTGGTTGTCACAAAATTGTGTGGGGGACACGCCAGGGGCATCCACTGAATAGAGGCCAAAGATGCTACTAAACATCCTCCCGTGCACAGGACAGCCACTGATGACAAGGAATTATCTGGCTCCGTGTCAGCAGTACTGAGGTTGAGAAACCCTGATGCAGATGTTACTTTGTGGGACTTTTGATAGCCTTCCTGCTACTAGAATTGTAGTAACATTTTGCTATAATAATTTGTACCCTAGACTTAGAACAAAAGGCATATTAATTTTCTATGAGCTCCTCTGCTCCTTTTGCAACTTTGAATACAGATGCAGAGGCTTCCAGGGACTTTGGGGCCTCAGGGAAAAGTCAGGTTGGCTCCATTCTGCTCTGGAGCCCAGGGTGCCCTTCTCTGGTCTGCGCACTCAGTAACAGATTCTCTGTTTTTCCTGAATTAGAATGTCTTCCAGGAGTGGTGTAGCACACCAGGAAGCTGGAGGGTGTGTTTAGGGACTGGGATGGACAAATAGCAGCCTTCATTTTAATTGCAGACTGAGCTTAACTGTATCAGTTTTTCAGATTTCTTCCCTAAGAGCAGCTGATGGGTTTAGGCCCAGGAGATGTGAGGCATCTACCACGGTGCCAGGCATGTGGTGGGTATTTAGCCCATGATGGTGCTGCTGTTGTTATTATCTATAGGTTAGTTTTGGATGGTCCTCGCCATCTTTAACTACCACAACTTTCAGATTACTAGAAGTCTCAGGGATAAAAGTGTGGGCCATCTTTTCCCTTGGACTTCGGTGAGCCAGCACGTTATCTTTATTAGTGACCAAAATCAGGGATAGTGGCATAGCTCAGTGGTAGAGAGCATTTGCCTAGCATCTCCAGAACACCAAACAAATACACACTGAAACACACATACACATGCACGTACACACATGCACAAAAATCCCCACAAATATATCTGTGCTGTGAACAGTAATAGGCATGCAGTAGTCTGGGGGAAGTACTTATTACTGAATCACCATTAGCACAGCCTTAGAATTTGTTAGAAACAGCCAGTGGCATTCCAGGCTTCTCCCTTGTAAAAACTACGTAACATTATAGGAAGGAGCAGATGCAGGTCAACATCTCACTCATGTGGCAATATCTTCTTTCTTGAGCCAGCTCTTTTTCATGTAGAAGAGATGACACAAACTCAGGTTTCAGGACATTTTCTCCTATGAGGGAACATGTGCTATTTCCAGAGTTAAAGTTACTGTTTGCTGGGTCAGCCCTTAAAGGCCCAGTCAGCTACTTTGTCTGGATCAGTGATTCGCAACTCTGTCCTTTGTTTTGTTTTTTGTTTTTGTTTTTTTGAGACAGGATCTTGTTATGTAGCTTAGGTTGGCCTTGAACTCACTATGTAGCTGAGACTGGCATTGAACTTGAGTGAACCTCCTGCCTCAGCCTCCTGACTGCTGGGATCACAGGTGTGCACCTGGCTCACGCCTTGAATTACCTGGAGAGCTGAAGAAAAATATCAGAGGCTCCTATCTCCCTCCTGTCTGAACCCTGTTATCTATCCCAGGGTTTTTGATGTAGTTGGTCAGGAGTAGCGCCCACACTCTTAAGTGCTTAGAAACGTTCCAAGGTGACTCTGATGCTCTGTGGGGTTAACAAGCACACGTGGAGCATGTGCTGTTCTCCATTAATCTGTGTGCCTTTGGAAGGTACCTTTTTTTTGGTACCAGGGATGGAAATCGGGACCTTGCGCTTGCGAGGCAGGCAGCGGAACCCCTGAGCTCAATCCCCGGCCCTGGAAGTTACTTTTAAATGTGGGGGAAGGCCTCATCTTTCCTGTGGGACAGTTTAAACTGATGACAGGGACTTCCCTGGACTGTGGCCCTAACAGACAAACCACACCTGCCTCGTCATTCTTCTGACTCCGCCACCCTTGTCTGCTACAGGTCTCAGAGCAGGCCTGGCGAGGTAGGGGTGTGAGGAGTTGTTTTATCTGGCAAAGACGAAGGCTCCTGCTTCTCTTCCCTAGCACGGACTCACTACGACGTCATAATGTTCGACGCAGACAGTAAGGACCCAGCACTGGGAATGAGCTGCCCCCCTCCAGGTTTTGTGGATCGGCCTTTCCTGCAGAAGGTCAAAAGCATCCTGACCCAAGAAGGTATGGAGCCCCGAAGGTTGGGGGGTGGTGGCCTGTAAAGAATGTTCATCTTTAATAAAATACACAGATGAGTGTGTGTAACTTGGTGAGTTTTCCCAAATGGAACATGTCTATTTAGCAGGACCAACCATAGGACGTTTGTAGCATTCCAGAAGTTTACCTCTAACCCCTTTCCATAGCTCATCCTCCTCCCAAAGTGAATCACTACTCTGTCACCACTGCTTGGTTGGTTGTTTTTGTCCTTCACATAGATAGAATCATATGTCATAGACTCTTCAAGTGTTTGTTTCCTTTTGCGCAGCATGCCGTGAGTCAGCCACAGTGCTGCGTTTACATTGTTCATTTTTATTGCTGTTCACATTGTGTGAGTATACCACTGTTAACATACCCACCATCACTACTGATTTTGGACTTGTTTCGTCTTGCGGGTATTGGAAGTAGTGCTGCCATTACCATTCTAACACAGGACGTGGGGTGAGATACGTTTGCAGGTTTCAGGCATATACACAGGGCTGTAACTGCTAGGTCATAGGTCACATGAATGTTCAGCTTCTGTAGATCCTGCCACATAGTTTTCCAAAGTGGTTGTGGCAATTCGCTTCCCCCCAGCATGGTAACACTGGCTACCACTTGCATGCGCCCTGTGTGTCCTGGACTGGGCCGTGTGTTCTTTAAACTTCACAGCAGCCCGCTTTCAGATGAGGAAACTGCGGTCAAGTGACTTGCCAGGGTGACACTTGTTAAGAGTTGCAACTCCAGCCCAGGTCTTCGTCACTTGAAAGCTGGAGCTCTTGATCTCTGTGTTCACAGACCGTTGAGTGCTTTGCTTTGATGTAAGGTTCTGTAATGGGCCAAGTTGATTTAGAAACTTATTTGCAAGATAACAAGGTAATTTTGGTCTTCTCATTGGTTAAAAGATATTCCATGACGTGTATGTCAAGAATGTAACATCCTTGTGGCATAAGTAGAGTTTTCTTTCTTGGGGATATTACTTCTTTCTCAAAACCATTCTTTGAGAAATGAAGGCATACAGAATGGTAATGTGTTAGCTGCACAGAAGTAAACCTGAAGTTTTCTTGTGGTTTCCATGTTCCTCATACTTTTCTCTTTGTGCCTTTATGCTGCTTGGTCTCCATAAGCTCACTGCTGCTTTAGGTGTGTTTTCTTAGTCCACCGGCCTCTCTGGGACAGAAATTGGCCTTCTCCTGGGAGCTGATCTTTGTCTCCAATATGTCTCCTGAACCGTGGTCAGTCCACTCTTTCTTCCCCACCCTATAGGTGTCTTTATCCTGAACCTTGTGTGCCGAGACTTAGGGCTAAAGGACTCAGTGCTGGCTGGACTCAAGGCGGTGTTTCCTCTCCTGTATGTCAGGCGAATTGAAGGAGAAGTGAACGAGATCCTGTTCTGTCAGCTGCATCCTGAGCAGAAGCTTGCCACGCCAGAGCTCCTAGAAATGGCCCGGGCCTTGGAGCAGACCCTGAGGAAGCCAGGGAGGGGCTGGGACGACACATATGTCCTGTCAGATATGCTCAAGACTGTGAAGATTGTGTAATCGTGAGGCCGTAGAGTCCTCTAAGCGCCCAGACTGGACTCCTGGCCTGCCAGAAGCAAGTCCTACAATGCACAGTACTTTAAAAAGTTGTGGTTTTCCTTGGTTCATACTCTACTACCCGCAGCCTCAAGCTGGGTGAGATTACCCGAAGGTCTGGGAAACTAAAGTCCTTCCCATTCTGTCCTCTTCCGTGTCATTTGGGTCGGTCATCTTTGTTTCCCACCCCACGTCCTTGCGGATGGAGGCTTCCTTGCTGCAACTCTTAGCAGACACTGCATGTCCTAAGAAACAGGTGCCAAACTTCTTAGGACTGATTACAATCAGATTTGATTGCATCTCATTTATTGCTTTGTGTTTGCTTTATGCCTTTCTGTTTCTGTAGGAATCATCTCAAGTGAGATAGAGCCTTGTATGCCAAAAGACTAAGCGGTCTCTGTAGAAGCAGACAGATTTGCAAGAACATCTACTCTTTGTCTCCCTGCAGATGGAACTGTCACTAAAATTGTCCCAGTTTTAGGAATTTGCTATCCTACTCAACAGCTTACCTTAATTACCTAGACATTACAGCCTGAGCCATTTGTCCTGTTCTCAGTGATGGGGATTTGGATAGCTTCTCCATCACTGTATGTCAGGGACCAGGCGGATGGAAGTCTCTGTCATTTCTTCATTCACGTTTACTAAGTGACAGTTACATGCCAGACTGTGTAAAGACCTGTAGTGGAAGTAAAGAAGCTTAAAAATAGCAAAAAACGAAAACAAAACCCCAAACACCGTATTAATAATAAAAGTTAACATGTTCCAGACACTATTCTCAGTGGTGTACATATATCATCTCATTTAATCTGAAATAAAGGATAGTTAAACCAAAACTCCATTAACCCCAAACCTCACTTGATCCAGAAGCATCCGTCATATGTGTTCATCGAGACCATTAAACCAGTTGTTCCAATATTGGCTTGGATTTCATCTCTTAATTATTTTAGGCTTGACTTAGTGAGCAGTACCAAGGAAAATAGACACTGTCACCAGCTGCCACCCTGGTCCTTTAAAATAGACTCTAGTCTCTTGAAGTAAAGCGTATTTCAATGGTAGGTTGTCATCCTCACAAAATTGGCTCAATTAAAGAGGTGTGTGAGTACAGAGTAGTGTGTTTAGATCTTATCTGTTAGAAACAGGTGGTGGTGGGCTGGGGGTGTAGCTCAGTACCACCACACCTGTCTAGCAGGCGCAAGGTTCTGAGTTTGATTCCTGGTGCCAGAAAAAAAAAACCTTAAAAAAAAAACCCATCAGAAATAGGTGGTACTTGCTCTTTGGGGAAGGGTCTTCCTCTGGAACCATGTAAGGAGACGGTCCTTCTTGTCTGAACCCCAAAAGGCTCAGCTTGGCTTTTTTTTTTTTTTTGGTACCGGAGATCGAACTCGGGTCCTTGCGCTTGCACAGCAGGTGGCGAAACCACTGAGCTAAATCGCCGGCCCCGGCTATATGGTTATGCAGTGTTAGGATAGGCTCCAGAGGTTCATGGTGTGAGTTAGAGGACCTTGTCTGCCTTTCCGTGGTCACATCAGCCCCTGGTGCTGTGTGGAGTTCAGAGCAACACACTTCGGTGCCACAGCCGGGTTGGAGAATTAGCAGAATGAGGAAAAGCTACCAAACATATCTCAGGAGGAGGTTCAGGAATTATGGGTTTACTGGTATATGTATTTGTGCACTTCTTCCAAGGTGGAAAGAAGCACTTAGGGATAACAATTGTCCTAAACATTTTTGAGAGACTAAGGGAAAAGTGATCTGACCCTCTGAAGGCTGAAGAAAGTCCAGTGGGGGGAAGTTACAGTTGGGCAGTGCTATAGTATGGATTGCTAATGTCCCCTAAGGGTGATGAAGGGTGGGCCCCTAGCCTGTGACACTAATGGGAGGTGGTGGAACCTTTAGGAGGTGGGGCCTAGTGGCAGGAAGTGAGATCATTGGGGGTGTGCCCTTGAGGGTATTGGGACCCCGACCCTTTCCTCAGATTTTGCTTGCCGGCTGCATGAGATGAGCAGCTTGCTCCAACATGAGTTCTCCGCCATGATGTGCAGCCCCAGCACTGACCCAGAAACAATGGGTCTGCCCAACCATGGACTGAAGCCTCCATGATGCACCTCTCCTCCTTATAATTTGCTTTATCTCAGGTATTTGTTAGAGTAACAGAAAGCTGACTAATAGGCAGTTTCCGTTTAATTTCCTACAGAAAGTAAGTTTGTGCCAGTAGAGACCAGTATGTTCACCAGCTGCAGGCTGTTGACTCAGACACCTCAGGCACTCTCCAGGAGTGAGGACGAGGTTTTGTGGGCATAGAGTCCTTAGCCTGTGGTACCCCATCTTCAGAGAGCATTCACTTCTGTATTGATGACAGGCAAGTGGGCCTTTATGAGAATATTGCCTACCCTTAGGCATGTGGACACAGGAGAAGGGTTGCAAATTTAAATTTCCACTGGCCAAGCAAGAAAGGTGGAAATGTGTGAAGTGAGCATGTTGCATCTCCATCCCATCCACTTCCCCTTTTTCTCCCTCTTGTCTCTTCCCATATTGCCAGATCCCTTTCTGGAAACTTTTAAGGACACTGAAGCTGGGCCACACCCCCAGGGATGATTGAATTGGTCTGGGGTGCAGCCTGTGCATCAGGATCTCAAGCTTTCCAGGTGATGCTGCTGTGCAGCCAGAGTGGAGGACCACAGGGGTTCTGTGAGTGGGTATATGTTAAGGGAATGAGGAAGGAGTTGTGATTGCCATCATTGTCTGGGCCTAGCTCTGGGCTACAAGCGGCAGCTGTCACTTGATATTGGGAATGTGCTCTCCTCCCACCTGCGTGCCAGCCCACCTCTTAGCTCCTTGTCCTTTGAGTGGATTTCCCTTGAGTAATGTTAGGAGATCAGCTTGTCATGTAGGTTAGTTTCTGTTATGGTGCCTAGCAGTTACACTCCCCATTATAACTAGGTCCTGAGTGTGCATCCTGAGGTCTCCTCAGTGGAGCTCAAAGACTAGTAAACCATGGGTAATCCAGTTTCCCTTTGTGGGTTGTCTTGTCCTTTGGTTCTGTAGATTTGTTAAAGCTAGCCAGGTATGATGGTCATACCTGTAATCTCAGCACTCTGGGAGACTGAGACAGGAAGATCACAAGTTTGAGCCCAGCCCGGGCAACTTAGAGACTTAGACCTTGCTTCAAAATGAGGAAAAAAAAAAAAAAAAAAAACAAGGACTGGGATGTAGCTCAGGAGGTCCTGGGTTCAAGCCCCAGTAGGGGGGATAGGGGTGGTTAAAAGGGGCAGGTCTCCTTTTTCTTATTCAGTGGGCATTTTATGGAGAGGCTATTTTGTGACAGATGCTGTGGTTATGTTGAGGATACAAAAAGGAAAAACAGCTGCTACCCACTAGCTGAGGAGACAGTAGGGCTGACACATTCCAACTTGTGCATGAGTTCCGGAACCACTTGTGGATAAAACGTGAGGGCAGCATAGAATGTGGTCAGACGTGTTTCAAGGAGTCTGAGGTCCTCGTTAGAACAGGCAGGAAAGGGTCAGGCCGCAGTGAAAACAGCCCCCTTATGTGACCCAGGGCTAGGCTCTAAGTTTCTAGTTCAGGTTTGAGCTGGTTCCTGTGCTTCCCAGTAGATGGCGCAAGAAATCACATTTAAACCCTGGTATCTAAAACTCCTTGTGGGAGAGTGGTAATTTCATTCGAACAGAATTTCCTGATTCTCCCACGTACGAAGAAAGACTCCTACTTCGCCCATTCTTCTCTCACTTGCCTAGTACTCTACCCACTCAGCTCTTTCCCCTTCGCCCTTTCCCTTCCCTGTGCCTGTGGAGGGAACGCCGCTTTCTCCATTGGTCTCTACGATGGAGCCCCGTGTGGAGGTGAAGACCCCTTTGCCCCACGTTCCTGATTTTAGAAAACAGCAATGGGCTGTTAAGACATGAAGTCATTTAAAGCTCAAAATATGTAAGAAATAAAAATGTAACAGTATGCATCTAGGCCTGAACTAATATGTTAAAAGTTTCCTGCCAGTGCCCTACAGGTCAGTGGTAGAGCACTTGTCTAGCTTGTGTTGGGAACCCGGGTTCAATCCTAGTGCTGACAAAAAAATTGAAAGACAAAGTTTTCTGCCAAGATGTAAGTCATTTATTTAAAAAAAATTTTTTTTTTATTTTTGGTACCGGGGATCGAGCTTGGGTCCTTGCATTTGCGCTTGCGCAGCAGGTGGTGAAACCACTGAGCTAAATCCCCGGCCCGTAAGTCATTTCTTTGTAAGTTTTTGAGACATAATACTTGTACATCTTTATAAAATACATGGCAGGAATGCAGTATGCATATATAATGTGTATACAAAGTGGGGTAATAATATCCATTCAAACATTTTTATTTGTTGGGAATTTCATATTCTAGTCATTTTGGAACGTGTCATAGATTGTCTAGCCAATAATTACCTTTTTTTTTTTTTTTGGTATACATCATACATTTATTAGTGAATATCCCTCTGAAATCAACAACAATATTAAAAAAAAATAATGATTGCACTACTTGGTCAAGCAGAACTAGCAACCTTCATTTTTAAAAAAGTACAAATCTGTTAAAAATTTCGATCAGTATACACATGTATATAATACAACATACTAGTTACGTTAAATGCTACAAACCAATGTGAATCCAATGGAATGGAAAACACACATTTAAGCTTTAAGAACCATTTTTTTCTCTCTATATTAGCATTTTCTCAAATACATACATGGGAAAAATGAGGTAACTGTAAAATGTGCAAGGAACAGGGCCCCCAAAATTACATATATATGTAATTATATATATTTAAAAACTTTCTAACACAGAACACAGACGCTGGGCCCAGCCAGGGCTGGGGGAAGGTGCCCACTGTCATGCCTAGGCCAGAAGTTGGTAAATAAGAGTAAACAATGACAAGCCCCCACCACAGGAAATCATTGGTAACATGGCATCTATAGCAAGGTTAGCAAATCACAAACAACCCTAAATAATTGTTTCATAAATTTTTTTTATGATGGTTTTTTTTAATATTGTGTACCCCCCCCCCCCCAAGTAGCTGCTTGCTGGAATCATTGCTGCAGACGACACACAATCCATGAACCTGTTTCCGCCTGCCCCAGGAACTGTAAGGGTTTTGAAAACCTTTTGTTGGGGTGGGGAAGGGAGGGGGGTTGGAGTGGTTCTGTGTAAATACATGGGTTTTCAACACTGCTATAAATATAGAAACGTCACCTGGAGTCATATGCAGTTAAGACTTTGGGTTCTTCACGGTGGGGAACCAGGCTGAGGGGTCCCATGGCAGGCTGGGTGGGAGGCAGGGGGCCAAGGTCGCTGCGGGGAGAGCGAGGGTGGTTGGAGCATCCCTGAGGCAGCAGGCGCCAAGGGGTTGCCTGCTAGGATGTGCCGGCCCCACACGTGGTTTGTTTGGTTTGTTCATTCAGGACAGCAACCCCAGCTGGGGGCAAAGAAGGAATGGGACCAGGGAAGGAGGGTGGGGAGCTCAGCCAGACCCTAAAGGGTCCCCCTCCAGACCTTGAAGGGCAAGAATCAGGCTGGGTGGGACCTCCAGGACTGAAGGTCCCCACCCTCCCTGGTCCCTGCCCTCCTGGGATTCCTTGGAGACTCACCCAGGCAGGTGGGAGGCGGACCCTGGCTGGAGAGGGAGAAATGCCCTGAAAAGCGGATGGTCCCAGTAGGCTCTAGGGACGTGTGCAGTACAGTGCATGGCAGTTATCAGCTGAGCACAGAATCCTCCAACCCTGCCCTCTGACCGCCGGCTGCCCAGCCCACCCCAGCCAAACGCATGCAGGCCAGGTGGCACCCCCTGACCCTTCTGTGCCCCCTGGGCATTCGGTCCTGGTTGATCCCTGTACCCCCCACTAAATCAAAGGAAAAAAATTGTCATAAATATCCACACC